CATCACTTGATAGTCCTCAAAACTTATAGAAACCACCTATACGTCGATTTTAAAGAGTTATATAAACTATTCATAGTACTTTCTTGACGTCAATCACTTAATATTAATGAATGAAGTATTAAATCAAAAAACCTTAACACTTAATAAATGCTTTTAATTAAGTCGCATATATAAAATGTTCCCCCACCCCAATCTAAAACTATCGGAATTTTCGAATATTAACGAATGTTTGTAACACAATATTTTTAGAAATTGCATACGAACATTACATTAAATTACACAATCAATAGATATATGTTCCAAAGATCTTGTTGATTTCGATTTCTTCTATACAAATTTTTATGTTAGCGATACTAAGAAACATTCCATCTGATTTAGCTATGTTTACTGATGAGTTGGAACCCAACTCATGAGTGCGTGATTGATGACTAGTCATACTGACTTAATATCTTAGTAGAGTTATATAAAAGAAAGTTCTTCCTTAAATTCAGACAATGTGATACAAATTAAAATTTCATCAATTTTGATTACTTTTAATTTTGCAATAAAACTTATTTTTCTGTGAAATAAAGAATTACCAACCAATCAATTTTCTTGTCATAAATTTAGAAAATATTAAATTTAATTGAGACAATCAACAAAAGTTTTTTCAAGATCTTCAGTAAAGAAAAGATATTTTTATAGGATAGTTTTCTTTCTACTTCAACAATTTATATCATTATTCAATTCTTAAACAACGTAATTTATTCTAAGATTTTTTTTTTCTTTCTATGAAATTTTTGAAAAATTCGATATGATGGATACATCAAGTTGCACTTACATTGAGTACATTTAGTGTTTTCTTACCTGACGAATATAAACTACATAATAGCTAACAAGCATTTTATTTTATAGTTTAATGAATTCTTATGTCTTAATTCTATGAGTCATAGAATTCTTTTCTTATCTTCAAACTTGCAAAATCTTCAGAGATTTATTACATTAAAGAAATTCACATGTAATTACATCTATGTATAATTTTAAAAAGCAACTATTTGTATGAAAAGGATATGAAAGGAACGTTGTAGATGTTGGTATCTATCGAAATTTTAATCTATATAAGGATTATTAACTTTTCCTAGTCGTTGGTGATGAAGTGTGGAGGGTGGGTAAGAGCTGAGCTTTACCCAAATTCGGAAATATTAGGCTCAGTCTCATCTGAATGAGAATATTAAAGTTTCGTTATACTCAAATATAGCTTTACTTGGTCAGGTGAATCTTATGCTAGTGTATAGATTAAAACTTTCAAATGATTGTCTATATGTTGTGATGAAGATAACAAAAAAGTTGAGGTAACAGTAAAGATTTCATAGCATCTCGTCATGACTTTCAATAACATGTTTATTTTATGTACATAAATTCATATGTAAAAAAAAATCAGTCGTTGAATTATGTGTTTAAAAGGAACAAAACTATCTAATCAAATCCAAGCATCTACCTTCTCTTTTGTGATATGATTTACTTTATTCAATTGCATGAAAATGTTTAATAATTATTTAAAACTTCAATAAAATGATGAGCTAGATAGAACCAAAAAAAACAACAATTCTATTTATATTCTTATTTGAATTTTTAAGCTTTCATAGTTTCTGGATGCATATAATATATCGTAAGTCTATCCGCACGATAGAAGATTATGGTAATATTGTTTTTGATAGATATACGTCAGTTTTTGTAGCATTGTGAGAATTTACGAACTTCTAACAAAGAACAGAGCGAAATAACACAGCAATTTTTTTAATAAATAGGGCAAAATTAAATAGTTTGAAGCAACTTAAATAAAATTTTCTTTAAGATAATAAATACAATTTCATTGATTCTCACATTCGTGTCTATTTCTTTGCTTTTATCAATATAGACTTTGTTGAAATTTTTATTCTATTTATATCTATAATTGTTTATATTATTTTTCTATTAGAATGATTATGCAAGAATAAAATATTGATCATATTATTGTTATCATTTCGAAATTCAGTGATCATTTTCTGAATTAATTATTGTATTCGTTTTTAGATATTTTAATAAAACTTAGTAGAAGAGTCTGCTTTTGACATGGAAATAAAATATTTATTCTGTCATATTTTCTAATTTTTTTGTTCAATATATCATAATAAATTTATTATTTAACTCTTCAACAAACATCATGCATTGACATTTTCATATCCATGCAATTAAGCAGATGCATATGTGTGAATCATTTACCATTTGCCAATTCAATATTGAATAATTTTATTTTATTCATTTATGATTATTTTCGACAATAAATAAATTGCTTCCATAGAAAATAATTAGTATTTTTTGATAATTTTATATCTGAAATAGTTATGTCTAACAACATGAAATATTAACTGATTTTCTTTTGTTTATTAAAGTATATTGAGTACAACATGTTCACAATTAACACGATCATCCAGTTTCTTTTTTACCTTTGGATTGTCATAACTTAGTAATTTGATTTGAAAACGAAGCTGAAACTTACATTACAGCAAAGTATAAGAGAGTTTTAGTTTAGCTAAACATTTCATTTCATTTGTGTTTGAAGCTATGATAATAGATCTTATGATAGTTAAATTTATTTTTTGAAAGTTTGTTCCCGAAAAAGAGTTATCATTTAAAGCATTACATTAACACAATCAGTAACATTTTTAGATTCATTAACAAGGCAGAGTTTTTACAGCTTTGACAACAAAAGAAAGATGATTCATTAACGTCAAACTGTCACTCAAATTTCAATAGCACTGTTCTATGATCTTCTATTTTTCAAAATGATGTATTAGAATTCAAAATATGATAAAAAAATAACAAGATCCATTCTCGTACAAAAGATGCTTGATTTTAGCTGACGACTATCATTCATTAGCATTATTATTCAAAATAAATGACGTCTATCTGTGTAGAATATATGAAAAGATTAAAAAAAAAAATTTTTTTTGAATGCATAAGTTCGATTGTTTCGTGTTTAAGAAGTTTTCTGCTCGACTTTGATCAAGCATAATCCTTTTCTTTTTAGCTAGACAGACTAATTATACATATTTTTATTTTTCTAATGAAAAATACATCAAATTCAAATTAAACCTTTCTTTCTTATCACAAATTTCGAAATTATCAGTGTATTAGAAATTTATTTATCACAGCACAAACTTATCAATAAAATTTAAAAAAAAAAGAGACATTTTTAGTAAATATAACTAAATGCATAAAATAAAACGTATAGTAGTAAATAAAAACAGTGTAAGACTTATGAAATTTTTCAAAGGTAAAGTAAAAAAAAAAAGAAAAATATTAAAATCTTCTATTTCATTAAAATTGAGCATTACAGGGATGGGTTATATAATACTGTAATAATTCGATACCATTTTGATACCACCAAATAAATGCAGCTAATACTGAAAAATGCCAAATTTGATGACTTGCTAATAAAATATCAAAATATCCTAAATTAAAAAACACAGTATATATATATTTTTTTTTCTCAAATATTATAATAAAAATATTCATATCAAAATTGAAATAATACCTGGAAAAAATCTTTCAGGAAATTTTGTCAAATAAGTCAATGCACCAATAGCTAATATTCCATAAAGTATAAATAATTTTGGAAAAAAATATTGTACATGATAATTTGACCAACCACCATGAAGATAATACCAATGTGAAGCTGGTAATAAACCAAGAAGTGATATGATTACAAATAAAGTTACATGAATATTTCGTGTTATATATTGTTTTACTCCATGTATATAATAAATAACAGCAATAAACATTATACCTATAATAATTGTTTCATATCGTATTCTCCATGTACGATAACATTCAAATGCAAGATGAAGACCACATAAATAACAACCAAGAATACCAAATCCAATACCACATAAATCTAATTTAAGAAAATCAGCAAATGCTCGTGATGACATACAACCAAAAAGATGAAAAGCAATAGAACATACCATACATATCTATGTTTATCAATTTAAAGAATAAAATCATTTAGAAAAACTATTAACACAATTTCTATGAGATTAAAATATGAAACACAATGTAGTTGTTCATGCTAAATACAGAAAAACTATTTTATTCTATTTATTTTGCGATAGATTTCTTTACTATCATTTTATTTAATCCTTCAGAAGTGCAATAAGAAAGTAGATCATATATGATAACGAGACATCATTCATATACGATCTGTGATGTTTCCTTAGTAATGTCTATGAAGGCAATGAAGAAGATTCATATTTCTAGTTCTATACTTCAACACTCTTTTAAGATAGTATTTCACAAAAAAAAGAAATATAAACAAAACTTACGATAACAGAAATAGTATAAAATAATATAATATAATAATCAGTTGATGATATCAATAATGGTAAAGCTTTACCCATATAAATATCACGAAAGAAAAAATATATAAAAAGAATAGCACCAAATGTGTGTGACCAAACATTCACAGATTCATTATTTAAATAAAATAAACTATTATAATATAAATACTAAAATTCTTTGTAAAAATTTACAAAAAATAATAATTACCTAATTAAACAATCTTTAAAAGTTAAACCATGTCTATAACCTGTTCGAATAAATGGATTTGATTGAAGATATTCAGGTATCATTTCAAATGAATATAATCGATTATTTTTATTAATATTTTTTGATTGAGATTTTTGTGAATGTGGTCTATCTGATTGATTATCATTCAATAAATGTCGACCCATACCCATGAGAATTTAATCTATAATAAATATAAACTTTAAAATAATTTGAAAAGAAAACAACAACAAAATGTTTTTCGATTTTATTAATGATTGATTTTGTTTGAGACTAAATAGAAATGTTGATTATTGCAAAGTTGCATCTTATTATTTATAATGAATAAAAAAAAAAACAAAACACTATTTAGTTGTCTTTTATTTTTATTTGATCAACAAAAACAAATACAATAATAATTACAACAAAGTAATTATTTAAGATACTTCAGTTTCTTGTAATAACATATTCGGAATACCTTTTGAAATTGGAAATTTTCTACCAGTTTCCGGACAAATAAGTTCACCTTCTTCAACTTCATATTCAAGTAAAACTCTATGCATTATCTTAAGAAATTCATCATCTTGTTGCAAATTTTCTGATATTGTCTCTGGTAATGATTCATTCAAACCAAGCTACAAAAAAAAAAAAACAAAAAAAAATAATTTACGAAAAAAACAACAAAATTGAACAATATAAAAAACTTACATCATTAACAGCTGCTCGTAATGCATCATATTCAATACGTGGTATAATACGAGCTACAAAATCACGATTATAATCCACAGATATATGTTCTACTTTATCAGCTTTAATTTTTAATGGAAAACCTTTTGTTACTCCTTTAAGAATATTTGATGTAAGCATATTATGTGTTATTAACTTCATTTTATTTATCTAAAAAAAAATTTTGTGAGATTATATGTATATATATATTTACTGTTATAATTGGTGAAAAAAATTTAAAAAAAAAAGTAAAAAAAAAAAAAATTCATTATCACATTTGACGCTTTTTGAGTTTAGAAATAAATTTATCATTAATAATAAAAGAATTTTTAGACAGAATATGAGTACGATCATTTTCATCAACAAGTAATTTTTGTATACATTCAGGTGTACAACTAATAAAGAGTATAGGTAAGAATTTAATACCAAATAAATTTTGACATATTATAATTGTACGATAACCATTTGAAACTCGTAGACCCGAACAAGAATCACATAATTGAGCACTAATAAAAAAACAAAACGAAAATATGAAAAAAGTCTTCTTGAATTCTTTTTTCATAGAACTATATAACATACTTAAATAATAATGTTTTTGATGAATCAGGAAGTTTATGTATAAAATGTTTCCATTGATATTTACTAAACTGAACAGTAAGTAATTCAAGTAATTTCTATCAAACAAATAAATATAATTTTTTTTTTTTTTTTTTTTTTTATCACATATATGATTACTTGAGGTTTTGTTGTACATTCATCTTTAGCTAATTGTGGTAAAAGCCATGTATTTTTTGCTGTAATTAATCGAAGATTTTCCATACAAATCATACTTGATGGTAAACAAGTAATTTCATTTCCATCACAAACTAATTGTCGAAGATTTCTAATATTAATAAAAATTAAAAATAATATCTCGAATGATTCATAAATAATAAACTTCTTAGTATTTTAACTAGAATTTTGTTTTTTCTTATTCAATTCTTAGACATAATTGTTTTTCAAAAAAAAAAAAAAGAGAGACGTTCTCAAATTCTCTACGAAAAATCAAGCCGTTCCATTTCTTCTATAAAGATCTGGAGAAAAATTGTAATAAAAAGAATACTCAACACATAGAAACATAAGCTAACGTTCAATACTGACAAAATCATTCTACCTGAATATATGAATGATAACAAAATAAAAGAGAAAGAATATACACATTTTAAAGTTCTAATCGAATTTTTGTTAAGAAAAACGATCAAGATCTAAGAGTTGAACAGAAATACGGAGACGCTCACTATTTATAGGTCATCCGATACATACTTTAAATTTGATATTCCACTTGGAATATTTGTTAAACGATTATATGATATATCCAAATGACGAAGATTAATTAAACTAAATAAACTATTTAAAAAAAAAAATTTTGTTTAATTGATTTGTTTGTAAATAATAATCGTATACCTGTCAGGTAGTGAACCATGTAATTCACAAAATGACATATCAAGAAAAACAAGCGTTTTGAGATTATTCATTCCTGATGAAATTGATGAGATTGGATTATGACGTAAATAAAGATGTTCAAGTTTCGTACATTCGAATAATTCTTTTGGTGCAGTCTTTAAAAAACAAAATATCAAAAATTTTGTTTCATTTTCTCTTTGTTTTCATGGAAAATTTCAATTAATTAATAAACTAACAAAATTAAAAAAAAACAAAAAAAATATCTTACGCGTAAACAATTATATGATAGATCAATAGCAAGTAATGTTGTAAACATAAGTGAAATATCTGGTAAATGTTCAAGTGTAAAAGCACGTAAATCTAAATGAGTACCATTTTTTAATAAACTATCAAGAACAGCTATTTCAGCGCCTGTATCACGTTTGAGTTCAAGTGAATCTATATTATATTTAAAAATAAAAAACAAACGATCAACAAATTTTTATGTATTTTCATATTAATATTACTTTCTTTTGATAGAGTTTTTTCATCATTTTGTGATTCTTCTCGGTTTTCAATTTCATAAAGAAGAATCTCTGTATGAGCACCTTCTTTTTGACGCCAACTTGGTAATGCTCTTATATTCATTTTAAGTTGTGAACCTAAATAAAAATGATAAATAGATTTCTTAGATTTTGTTCTTCTCTTACCAAGTATTTGTGACATATGTTGTCGAAGAACAAGAGCCATTTCAGTTACAATTTGATGCATAGGTACTCGACTTTGAAATGGTTCAATATTAGGTACAAGTGTTTGTACATGAATCTAAATAATAAAATTATTTAGATTTTGAAAACAAAAATTAAAACAAGTTTTTAGTTTTTATTTTTTGGTTTTATTTACTTTTCCACTTTCACCACGTTCGGACCAAACACGTTCAGCAATCATTTCACATATTTGTTTATAAGTATATTTTGATAAAATAGCTTTTTCTAATGTACATTCTTCATATGGATGTGTTTTTGATATTGATGAATGAAGAATAAAATCATTAAATGTAAATTGATTAATAATCGTATAAGTATCATCATCTGTTATTTGTGTATAACGTGATTTAATATCATGAAATGTACGTGTTCGTCTAATTGGTAAACCTGGTGGTCCTTTAAATTTTGGTGATCGATTAAGTGTTCGTGATTTTGATGTTCTTACTGCATGATGTAATGCACTAAATTGTGAATATTCACGTGGTTTAAGTGGTGCTAAAAATTTTTTAGATTTTTTTAATCGTGAAATTTTTTTGTTCTTAGCATCATCATCATCATCAACGTCGTCGTCATCGTCTTTTTGTTCATCATCATTCATTGCAACAGTTAAATGATCAACAAGTGTTGGTTGTTCACTTTGAAATGGTGTAACAAGACTAGCATGATGACTAGCTTCTTCAACTAATGGTGGTAAATAACGTGGTGATCGTGTATCACTTGATGGTCGTGATGATGGAGCTGAATTACTTGTTGAACTTGATACTGATGAAAGTGGTGATAAAGGTTCACTTTGTCCATCTATTGTTATATCACTAAGTAATAATGGACGAAGACGTGGACGGAGAGGACGACGTAAAAGATTCATATCTAAAAACCCTGAATATTAGATCTATTTATATATGCATATAAATTATAATTTATTTTGAATAACAAAGTATTAAATAAGCAGATATGTTTAAAAAAAAACAAAATTTGATTTTTTTTGTTAATAAAAGAGTTATTTTCACACAGTATATATATAGAATATTACTTATTTCGAAATGAACTGACAGTATAATAGAGAAAAAAGAAAGCAAGAACAATTGCACCAATAACATAACACATTAATCGACGATCACCTCGTCCACTAGACAAAACATAAGTCACATGACGAGAAGTACCACCGAGAAAACTACGTGCTTTTTCAAAATCAAAATACTATAATGAAAAATAAATCAATATCATTTATTGAAATAAATGATATTTCAATTTACCATGGATTGAAGAAAATGATTATGTTCTTTTGTTTCTTTTTCAATATCGAATGCAATCTTTAAAACAAAAAAACAATAAGTAGAATATTTTATTTTTGAAAAAAAAAAAAAAAAATTTAATTAATAAGTAACAAACATGTTTAAGTCGAGAGACTTTGGCAGCTAATTCTTCTGATTGTCGATCATTTTGACTTTCTAATGTATTCATTGAATATGAAATAAATTAATAAAATAATCTAAAATGTAAATATTATCTCTAATAATAAAAATCTTATACTTAGTATGTGAATATTATTTTGTGTATTTGTATCCGTTCAATGTCAGTTTTAGGCGCTCTTTCAAAACGACCTTGGCTTTTTTTTTTATTTTTAAAAAATAACACAACAACAACAAAAGAAACACTTCGGTTCTATCAAAGCTTCACATAGAATAAAAAAAAAGGAACCACATCATCTTGCAAAATCTCATTGGTTACTTTTTGGCAAAACTAACGGATATTGCATTGGTTGCCGAAATCTTAAAACCGTTGAGAGCATCTATAAAATACGAAGAAAAAATAATGAAATCAATATAATAAAGAATAATTTACCTTTAGCTGAAGCAGCACCTGCTTCATTATCAAAATCAATAAAAGCAATTCCTTCACGTCCAGGTACAAGTCGAACATCACAATAACCAGGAAATTGACGAAATAACGTTTCTAATGCGTCGTGTGTTGTTTCAATAGGTAAATTTGTAATAAAAAGTGTTGAATTCGATTGTATTTCTGTCATCATTGATACAGCAGTACCGACTAATGTTGTTTGTGCAGCAATAACCGATTGAATTCGACGTGTACGATCACGTAATGGTAATTCTTGTAATTCAGCTTCAGCTGCTGCAATAGCATTAGCTGCACGATTGACTTCTTCCGAATTCATCAATGCTAAAAGAAGATATAATTTACATAGAAATTCTTTTTCATATTGTCATATCGACCATAGACCGCATGTGTGAGTTATATTTTTATGTGTATCTACTGATTCAACTTATTTACAAATTTTGCTTTTCATCCATTCTAATCATTCATCTACTTCTGTTGATGTTAGGAAACTGCAAAGTAGTCCCGGTCCCGGGACCGGAACTGAAATTTGACTTTTTACGGGACCGGGACTAAAATTTTTCATACTGGTCCAGGTAAGTTTTTTATGCAATATATATTCACACGATTAAAGATCTGTAAATCAGATATTTTTATTTGCTATTTCTATAAAAGTCTTTACTGATTACAAGTCTGTTTGCAAGAATCCGAATTTTTCAATTACACAGGTTTTTGAATACATATAAAACAACCAACACAACACTATATACGTAGATTTAATTCGTTCATTCTTTGATCATTTCTTTATTTAAGTCTTATCAGAATCTAATACGTGCACAGATCGTAAAAAAGTTGCTCGATTTTAGAAATGAAGCCATTGTCAAAGACCGAAGCCGGGACTAAAAGCGATTTTGCAGATCCCTAGTTGAAGTACGTACACATATTCATGCGCTTTGAATGTAAGGTGTGAAACTTCTTTCAAATGCATTACACCACCAACCTACATCTACATTCACTTTGATAAAATATTTATTAGCCGGCGAATCGGCGTATAAAAAAACAAATTATTCAACTAGTAAATTCGATTCTCGAACAGATTGAATGCAAAAAAAGAACAATTAGTCGGCAACATCTGAAATTCTTACCTATATGTTGTTCATGAAGTGCTCGATCCGGTGGTGGTTGAGTTGGTGGTGGTGGTATACGAGGTTTTTCTTTACGTTGTTTTGGTTCTGGTTGACTAGTTGCAGCTAATGCAGCTGTCTTTTCAGCAATTTGTTCTTTTGAAAATCGTATTGCATCAGAATCACGTTTAGCATATGATAAACGCATTTGTTTACCATAAAACATTACACCTTGTAATGAACGTAATGCAGTTGTAGAATTTTGAATATCATCAAAAACAATAAATGCTTGTCCACGCATTTTAACACCTTTCATAGCAATAACACCAATAACACGTCCATATGAAATAAATAAATTATAAAGTGATTTTCTTAATTGTTGTTTTTTAATTTTTCCATTTAAATTATTAATATAAAGTGTATGATTAGGTGGAATAGAATTTCCAATTGATGATATTGTTGTTGTCGTTGTTGACATAACATTATCTGTACTAGTATTTGACATCTAGAATAAAGAAACAAAACATGACCAGAGTTATACATTTATATATTTATTGGTTTTTGTTTTTAATATGTCAGTTGCTTATAACAATAATGAAGAATAAACAAAAAAAAAAAAAAGAAAAAAAAACTATTTTTTAGCAAATGTAATCATCATTGCTTTATCTGGTGTAATTTTAAAACCTTGTAAACCATCTTTAGCCATAGCTGCATGATGTTCAAGATCAAATTCAACGAATGCAATACCTTCTCGACCAGGAATAAGACGAACTTCACGAAAACCATTATATGCTTTAAATAATGTTGTTAACATGCTTTCATTAGCATCTTGAATATTTGATACAAATAATATATTATTTGGCATTTCACCACCTAATATAGGTGGATGTAAAACTGGACGATTCATCATAGGTGGTGGTGGAATCATCATTGGTGGCATACCAGGCATCATTCCTGGCATACCAGTTGGTAAACCAGGAAATTGTGCTGCTAATTGTGCTTTTAATAAACGTTGTTGTTCTTGTTTAGCAGCTAATTGTTGACGACGTTTTTCTTTTTTTGATATTGATGGTGAATCCGAATCACTACGACGTTTTGGTCGTTCAACATATGTATTTTTACGTTTAGCTATAAGATCACTATCAGTTTTAGCAAATTGTATACGTAATGGTTTATCATATAATGGAAATGATTGCATTGATGTTAATGCATTAGCAGCACTATCTGGTTGATCAAATATAATAAATGCTTGACCACGCATACGTAAATTTTTTAATGCAACTATATCAAGAATTTTACCAAATTTAGAAAATATAGCATAGAGACATTTTTTTAATTCAGGAATTTTTACACCTTAAGAAGAAAAAAAAATATATATATATATATAAATAGAATTATGAATAAATAATAATTTTATGTTATTTACGTTCGTTAAGATTGTTTACATAAATTGTATTTTGACCATTAAATGTTGTATTTAATGGTGATGAAGCAGAATTTGGAGGAGCAACACCAGTTGAAACATCCATTTTATTTTATTTTTGGTTATATGAAAATGTTTAAGTATAATCGGAAAAATTTCTTTTTTTTTTTTTTTGATATTTCAGTAAGTACACTCACACAGTTAAAAGCAGAAGAAAGAAAATAAAACTTTCACTGTTTCTGTAACAACGAATCATTCTATTGGTTTGAAGTTAAAAAATCATAAATATATATATATGTACAAATTCTAGATGTCGTATTATATCATTGAGAGATTTTTATGAGATCTTGATCGTTATTATTTTTTTTCAAAATATTCATCATTATCATTTACATATTAATTATTTTGTATAACCATACATGTACAAAGTATAAAAATAAGATGAAACTATAAAAAAATATGTACATATAACAAAAAAAAAAAAAAAAAGAAATAAATGTATTATTCTTTTATTCAATATATCGTTATGTAAATGAAATAATTTGATTTTATTCATTGAATTCAATTCTTATGATCTATTTTAGTTTAACTGATTGATTGAATAAATATTTAACGTAATTAGATCTATTTTTATGATTGAATAAAAAGAATAGAAAAAAAAAAGTAATATTCATAAATCAGCATGAAAAATACCTATAACTATTTATCGAACGAGAAAATTTTGATGTAGAGCATTTAATGAAGACCAATTTATTTGTTTGAAGAAAAACTATATTAATAGAAAATATAACATTCTTTTATTGATGAGAATTTTATTTGGTTTCTTCAATTAGATTCAATTTTTCATAGTCAACATTATTTATTTATTTTTTATCAAGGTTTCACAATCTATGTAATGATATTTCTTTACATTTTTTTTCTTACAGCGAAACCTATTAATGTTAATAAGAAAATCTAAACTAAAGACTTTGTTCTGTCTTCTTTCTTTTTCTGTTTCTTTAACATCATAATATCATAGAAATGACATAATAATATATTAGTATAGTCTTCATATGTCTTTAAATATATGTGATATTGACAAGATGTCACATATCAATGTATTACTGGTTCGAACAGCTGTTACAAATCGACCAACTTCCCATATACAACACTTCAGTAGATTCTTTCATCGTTATTTTTAACCTTGATTTCTCAATAGTTTGTCTATGTCTTCTTTCTAAAGAAGGACAATACAAAGCAGAATATCTCAAGAATTAAAAGTGTCTAAGAAGTTGTCCTACTTTTGCAATAGCACATTGGATGGGTAGTTCTCTTATTCTATCGTTCACAGATCGTTTCTTCTCTCTGTCTCGTATGTTTTTTTTTTGTGATATAGTGTTAGGGTAGGAAAAAAAAACGAGAAGAGGGCAAGAGTTTTCTTTTCTTTTTTTTTTTCGTTGGTTCTTCTATACACATGCATTTTTCTTTCTTGTAACGTTCTATTAATCAGAGAAAGACAGACGTATACGCCGCATGCATACTACTTCTCCAATATTCCTATCAGAAAAAAGAAAAAAAGATTGCCCTATGAGTAGTCGTAATAATAGTACTTTATTCATAACCAATTGTTAGAGAATAAGAGAAAGAAAAAGAAAAGTTTGACATTGACGGAAAAACCACAAATCATGTTTGTGGTTATATGATATTCAAAATGAATACAACAATCGAACAAGGAACTACTTGACTGATTTTATTTTTATCTGATATACAAGTAATAATAATTTTTATTTTTTTTCATTCTGTGGTTCTGAGGTATGTATGAATGTCAACAATAATCATCACTTGTGCGCCGTTCTAGATGTTATTTGTCGTCAGTATATATGCATCCATGTATATATGTGTACTGTCATAACAAAAAAAAAAAAGGTACAAATGTGTTGTTTTACTATGTATATTTAGTAAGTGTCATTATTAGGCACGAACTGTTACAGAAGGAATGAAGTCAACGAGTGTATAATTAACTTTTACGTATAGCTTCATCGAAACTTTATCAGACAAAAAAAAAAAAGAATAGAATTCGGTTTACTCTTATTACTGTTCCTATATTTTTTTACGCATATCGTTATGGTAATTGCATAAATCGATATTGTACACGAATATGCAAATGTCAGTTTCTGCCTGACATATATTTGTCCAATGAGAAGAAGAAAAAAAATATGAGAAGCATGAAAATAAGTAACTGATTAATTTAGTTACTTTTTTTTTTTCTATTAAATGGATCAACCATAATCGAACATTTGTTCAGTATCAATTTACATTGTCTATTATTTTAGATAAGAAGATAGGGAAAAAAAACTACGATCAACCATCGAATTCAACATTTTTTATTACATCTACTGGTAGACTATTTTTAATATCATTATGTCAGCATTAATATTAAAAGCTGCTCAAGAATTTTCAACTTTATTTCTTGGTACATCTCGTAGTGACGATTCAGTAGGTGACCGTCTTAGTTATCGATATACATGTGCTGTACTTATTGCTTTTACTATAATTGTTTCAAATCGTGAATTTACATCAAGACGTATTGCATGTTGGGTATGTTTAAATATAATTTTTATGAATTCAAAAATTTAAATAATTTATGTTGTTGTAGGTTCCTGCTTTTTTTACAGGAAACTATGAAGACTATACGAATAATGTATACTAAATTTCATATATATTAAAATTTATTTGATTGATTGTTTTTTTGTTTTCTTTTTTGAATTTCATAGGTATGTTGGGTACGTAATACGTATTATATTGATGATACTAGTGAAATACCTGATAATACTGCTTTACGTCAAGAATCATCAATACGTTATTATCAATGGATATCATTTATACTTCTTTTTCAAGCATTTCTTTTTTTTATACCTTATGTTTTATGGAGAGTATTAAGTCAACGATCGGGTAAAAATATATATTATTTTTTTTTTTTTTTTGGTTTTTATAATAATATATTATATACATTTTTCTTTTGCATAATTAAGGTGTTGATATACGCGATATAGTTGAAGCTGCATCAAATTATAAAAGAGCAAATGATGAAAAACAACGTGAACGTTTAATGAAATTTATTATTTCAGTTATTGATCAATATGTGGATGATCCACGTCGTCAACCAAATAATCGTGAAACAATATGGTGGAAAAAATGTTTTCTCGTCTTTTTTCCATCGTCTGGTCGTTATATGGGAGATTATTTAAGAAATTTATTTTTATTTATTAAAGTTATTTATATTACAAATATTGTTGTTCAGATAATAATGCTATCTTTATTATTGGGTCAACCATTTTGGTCATTAGGTATTACTGTAGTTCGACTTTTATATGAAGGAAAAGGTTGGGATTTTACAAGTCGATATTTTCCTAAAGTAACATTATGGTAAAATGATAAAATAAAAAATATTTCTTTGTTGTTTTATTTTATATAGACATTAATTTCTTTTATCTTTTTGTTTAGCGATTTTCAAATTCGTGAAGCAAATGCTTTACCTATTGCACATACTTATACAGTTATGTGTGTTTTACCAATTAATCTATTTAATCAAGTAAAATTATTTTCTTTTTTTTTGAATTTTTTAAAATAAAATAATTGAGTTTTGTTTTTGTTTTTTTCTTCGAATATTATTTTAGCAAATATTTACATTTCTCTGGTTTTGGTTTGTTTTTGTTATTATATTAACTATTTATGATCTTTTTATATGGATCTATCGATTATTTTTTCGACGAGAAACGCATCTTCAAGAACGTTTAAAAATAATGGATTATGAATTAACAAAAACATGGCCATTTAATGATTTATGTGGTGAGCATATTAACCGAGAAGATAATGAACATATAATGAGAGGTAACAAAAAAGAAATAACATAACAACATAGAAAGAAAAAAAAAATAGTTTATAAATTTATCGATATATATTCTAGTACAAAGTCGTATTGAAACCGAAGCTACAACAGGTGATGAAGTATATACATTAAGTGATGGAAGAAAAATTCATCATCAATCGCGAATGTTTATTGTTCCACCTATATATTATGAAGGCAAAGGTCGTACATTATTTCAATTTTTTAATGATGAATATTTAGAAGCTGATGGACATTTTATTTTACGTATTATTGGTACAAATTCAAGGTAAATTGAATGTATAAAAAAAAAAAAAAGAAACAATTAAATAATATTAATAAATTTTGTTTTTTATTATTATTATTATTATTTCTTAGTGAATTAGTTGCGACTAGAATTATTCATGAATTATTTCAATTATGTTGTGAAAAACGATTTATTCCTAATCGTGTTGAAAAATTGGAAATACCACCACGTGTAACTCTTTATAAATATTTAGTTATTCAAAAAGAAGGTCAACCACCTCCACCTCCACAACAACAATTACAACAACCTAAAACACCAAATTATGAAACACGTACAAAAACAAATCCATTTGCTGCACATGCATCAGTTGCACCATCAGCATTTACATCAATTAGTCAACAACCACCAGAAATTAAACGACGAACATCTCATCAGCCTTCACAATTAGTAAATCAACCACGAGCACGTTCTGATACACTTCCGTTTTTTGATCAAACAGAAGCATTACAACATTTATCAACAACGAGAAGTGGTAATGGTTCAATATCTTCAAGGCGTGCTCAATATTCTTCACACCATGAGGAACACGAAGAACAAGAAGGTCAATGAAAATATTAATGCAGTTTATTTCTTTGTGATATCGGTTTGTGCTAGATTTTATTTATACTGTAGTTAATTCTGATTACATGTCGGTCTTTTTTTTCGGAAAGAAAATAGTCCGACAATTTTTTTTTTTCAATATTAATATAAAAGTTCGTTTGGAATAATAATAAAAGTGTTTCTTTTTTTTTTATGCATCGTTAATTAATGGAAACGGATCTTTTGTTTGAAGCCTACAAAAAAAAATATGAAGTATTCAATTTTGAAAAAACAAAAAAGATAATAAATAAAAAGCTATTTACCAATTTTCTTTACTATAGTCTGAATTATTTGTTTCAATTATATGAAAAGTATAGATTTGTCTCGAAATTGGTGATTTATCTAAATGAAAAATAAATTTTATAAAAATAAGAATTCAATTACAAAAACATTTTATTATTAATATTGTCGAAAACTTTGAATCATAGATTCTTGTTTCTTTCATTTTTGTATTGTTAAAAAAGAAACTTTCACTCAATTTATTCTTTACATACTTTGTTCACTTTTATGAACGACTTGACCATGAATAACAATAGCATCACCTAAATCAAATAAAAGATTTCATATTTAAAAAACAAAAAAAAAAAAATCAAAGTTATCGAAAGATGTTTTTGTTTTTTACCTGCTTTTATTTCAACTGGAACAAAATCTTTATCATCATATGGATCATCACTTCCTTGATATATTAATATATTTCCTTCATTAAATTCTTCTTGATTAGGATTTCGAATATAACGTCGTTTAATTGGTACTATAGAAAGGAAAAAATTCAATATAAACTATCATAACTATTGAAATTTACTTGTATGTGAACCAGGTATAAACCAAAGACAACCATTTTCTATAGTAGCATCTTCAAGAGCAATCCATATACCCATTATTTTAAGTGGTTCATTAAAAAGATATGTACCATCTTGATGAGCGCCAACTAGAAAATTTATTATAAATATGAAAATAAAAATTTTTTGCTTTTAAAAATTTTAACCTTTTCCTCCAATTTTTGGTTGTTTAAAGATATACATTGATTGACATATAGCTGGTTTAATAAAATTTAAATCACGTACAATTGACTAGATAAAAATGAAGATGCTTTGATTAAATAAAATTTCTATTTTTTTGCTTTTGTTTTTTACTTTAACTTTATCAGAAAATGAAACACGTTTAAATTCTGGTTCGAGTATATGAAGTGCATGTCCCATTTTATTAATGCTATGATGTTTATCTCGATTAAGTTTTTCTATTGAAATCAAAAAAAAATAACATATGTAAAGAATATTTAAAAGATGATATTTGATTTGTTTTTAATAAAATATCGAACTTGTATTTGGATCAATAGCATCTTCTTCCAAAAAAAATGAAATATTATCTGCACTATCGAGAAAATATCGACTTTTTGATTGTTGTCGATTACCAGTAGTAGAAAATATACATGAAGTATCACTTTCAGGATTCCATTTATCAATAAGTTGTTTAATAGATTCTTTTAATTTTTTACAATCATCATGTGTTATTAATTGTTCTATAACAAGATAACCATTCTTTTCATACTAAAAATTAAATATGAAATCTTTAAAATAATAACAAAATAATAATAATATCATACATTTTGAATTTGTTCTTGTGTTAACATATTTCTAAAGTCAACGTCTACGAAGTATGTGTATATGTTTTTGCTTGTAATCTTATTATTTTTTCTTCTTGTCTATCTATTGTAAATAATAATAGAAAGAATGATAAAGAGTGAATGTAATAAATGTATCGATATAGAACAATGATAATTATAATGACTAATCAAAAAGGTCTTACTGATAAAACCTTTATGTAATTCATATCTATTGCTGTTGTTGTTGTATAGAATGTTGTGAAATAAATAAAAATCTAAAATATGGCATTTTATCTTTCATTGTTTTATATAAAAAGAAAAAGAAACTTCTAATATATGTTATTTAATATCAAATCATTCTTTTTTTTTATTATTTAGTTATACTATATAGTTTAGAAAATACAACAGATGGTATTTTATTATCAGTTATATAATTTTCTTTTAATTATTTGATCTGTTGATTGAAATAGTGATGCTAAACGATAGACTAATGATTGTATAATCCAATAATAATTATATCTATGATAAAACCAGTACTCATTTTATATTATTCATATTTCTGTTATTATGGATAAAAATGTCATTAATGATCTTCTGTATAGATAACATGTCAATGCTCTATTACATAGAAATCAATTAATCAAATAAATAGGATGACCTTTATGAATTCATATCGAACCACACCTATTGTTGCTCGTATCAAAAGATTAGGTTTTATGAGAGAGTCATTTTATTCTATCAAAATTCATAATAAACGAATCTCAGTTAACATTTTTTCTTTATGTTTTTTTCATAGGCAAATTATACTTCGAAAAAACTTATTATTTTTAATATATTAATATATATATATATATATTCAACTAAATAAACATGATATTAGGATTACAAAATATTCATACGTATTTTGTTTTACATAAATAATAAACATAGCAAACAAAATCTAAACATTAATTCTAATTAAAATACAATAAGCAAGAATGACATATGTAACACAATAATAGTTCGAAAATAATGTGTTGATATCGTTTTTTTTTTGTTATAATTAAATGAATAAAACTGTTTGAAATTAATTTGAGCTATAAATATATATATATATATATAATTAAAATACAAAACCATTTATCATTAATAAGATCAATATTAAATTGATGTTAATTCTTTTTTAATAAACTATAATTGTCTACAATATATTTATTTAGGGATAGGAAAAAGAAAAGAAAAAATGAAATTGTTCAATGTTCGTTTTTTAAACCATATCTTTTGGATTAACATATTTGTCAAATTGTTCTGCTGTTAAATGACCTAATGCTAATGCAGCTTCACGTAATGTTGTTCCTTCTTTGTGAGCTTTCTTAGCAATTTGTGCCGCTTTATCATAACCAATATATGGATTAAGTGCAGTAACTAAATATTAATAATTAACATAGAAGTTTTAAAAAGAAACAAAATTAAGAATACTCCTCTATATTTAACTAATTCTAATGTTTGAAAACAGTACAACCAATTGAAACTTGAAAACTCGAGGGAGAACGTTAAAAAAAGGGAAATGATTGATTTTATTTCTAGAAAATTCTTCCAAGTATTAGTAATAAAAATTTCAGTTCGACAGAATAAAATTAGATGAAGGTAATAATGTATCAGGATGCGATTTTATGAAATCAAAGTTTCTCTTCCATAAAAACGTACTTTAAATATTTTTTTCTTGAACACTCATCTCCTAATTTTTGATACTCTATCAATGATAATAATTCCCGTCTAAATAGTTGTACCATCATCGAGAAAGAGAAAACGATCAAAAAAGAAGAGAATATTCTTAATTTGATTTTATTATTATTTAACTTACCTAACATAAGTGATTCACGCATATAACGTTCTAATACAGTTTTATTGGCTTCAATACCTACGACACAATATTCAGTAAATGAATGACAAACATCAGAAAGAATTCTTATTGAATGAAGAACATTTTTAATAATTAATGGCTTAAATACATTTAATTCAAAATGTCCCATTGAACCACCAACAGTAACAGCAACATGATTACCCATCACTTGTGCAGCAACCATTGTCATAGCTTCACATTGAGTTGGATTTACTTTACCAGGCATAATTGAACTACCTGGTTCATTTTCCGGTAATACTAATTCACCTTAAAAGAACAAAAAACAAAAGAAATATAATTAAATTTTTAACAAATAAAATAAATATAACTTACCAATACCACAACGAGGTCCCGAACCTAATAGTCGAATATCATTAGCAATTTTCACTAAAGAAAAAAAAGTAAAAATCCTGTTTTTTTTTAAACAAAACTCATTGATTTATTTCGTACTGAAACTAACAGCTACTGTATTAAGTGCACCACTCAGTTCAACCATTGTATCATGTGTTGCTAATGCTTCAAACTTATTTGGTGCATCAACAAATGGTAATTTTGTAAGATCATGTAATGTTTGAGCAACAAATTTACCAAAACCTTTTGGTGTATTTATACCTGTACCAACAGCTGTACCACCAATAGCTAATTCATATAAACGTGGTTCACAAGTTTTTAAACGTTCAATACTCATAGCTACTTGATGTGTATAACCAGAAAATTCTTGTCCAAGTGTCATTGGTACAGCATCTTGTAAATGTGTTCGACCAATTTTATAAATTGATGCAAACTCTTCGGATTTCTTTTTTAATGCTGTATGAAGATCTTTTAATGCTGGATGTAATCGACGATTTAATTCAAGTGCAGCAGCAATATGCATAGCTAAAAATAAAATTAAGTTCTATTATTTAGAAACAAAAACAAATTATTACCTGTTGGAAATGTATCATTTGAACTTTGACTTTTATTCACATGATCATTTGGATGAACTGGCTTTTTACTTCCCATTGTACCACCAAGAATTTGTATAGCACGATTTGAAACAACTTCATTAACATTCATATTTGATTGTGTACCTGATCCAGTTTGCCAAACACTTAATGGAAAATGATCATTAAGTTTTCCAGCAATAACTTCATCACATGCTTGTGCAATAGCATCTGAAACTTTTGTATCAAGACCAAATTGTTTATTAACTTTCGCACATGCTTTTTTTAATAAACCAAATGCTTCAATTAATGGTAATGGCATTCGATCTTAAGAAAAATTGAAATATTAAAATAAATCTATCAAATAAATAATATAGAATTAAATGTTATTTACCAGTTGGTATACCAATATTAAAATGATGCATTGAACGAGCTGTTTGTGCTCCATAATAAGATGAAGCTGATACTTTAATAGGACCAAATGTATCTGATTCTGTACGTGTTTCTCCAGCTGGTACAGGTACTTCATGATGATGCATTCTTGTAATCTTAATTATATATGATATTTATTTATCATTTAGAAATCATTTTTTTTTATTTTATTTAACATACCATTGATGGATGAAAACAAGAAGTTGCTGATAAGGACATACGAATATGCCCTTTTAAAATAGCTCGACTACATGCTGGTAAAACACGATATAAATTTGTTGCCATCTAAATCAGAATTACGAAAAAGTATATATATTTATAAATGTTGATTGTTTATATTATTGAAAGAAATAGAAGAGAAATTGATTTGATTTTAAACAAAGACCAAAAAGAAAAAAAAATACAAGGAATAATTTTTCCGCATATGAAGTCTGGAAAAATTTGCAGTACATATATATATATATATATATCAGACAAAAAAAAATAAAGATTAGATAGAATACAATTACAGAAAATGATATCGACAAGAGAAGAAAAAAAACACATAAGAATTCATTAGACAAAACAGTACGAAAAAAAAAATTCTTTTGTGTATAGATTAATTTTAAACTGATGTTTGTAAAGGAGGTAAAAGACGAGTAAGTTGTCCAATAATATCTTCACAACATCGTTTATAATGCCATGCACTACCTTTGGTACGTTTACGTTGAATACCTAATTCTTTGCCTTGTATAGCAACAATTTCTAAATCAAATTCTAATACAATTTTACCCCAATCATCTTCAATAAATACATCATATATAAATCGACTTCTAAATAATAAAATATAATATTATAAAAAAAAATATTTTTTTAACATTGTTTTCTAATACCCTTTTTCTTTATATTTAAGTTGAGAATTATTTTTTATTGCTTGTTCAAGTAAATCACATATTTGATCCGGATCATCAAGATTTATTGGAGTAACATTAGCTGTTTCCTAGAAACAAAAAAAAAGAAGAATGAAATCAAATTTGTAACTTTGCAAAATTACAATATGTGTTTCTCTGAATAATAAACTTTCCTCGATCTAATTATTATATGTTACAGATATATTAAGGGGGAGTTCCCTTCAGAAAATCTATTTCTTTGTAATATGATGAAAGTTGAATTTTTATCCTAGGATGATGCAGCGAAGTTTCCTCTTTCAGAATGTATATAGGCTTTTGAAAAAAGACCAAAGTTTAACAGACTACCGCAGGGAATTTTCAGCTCACTACCTAGTTTTTAGACAGATTTTGGCTGTTTTCGATATTTTTGAGAGCACTATTCTGCTACCTCTATCAGCATGGAATAGACATTTTTATATGATATAGTACGAACTGTGCGGCTAGCTTATGTCATCTATTATGTGCTTTCAAAAATTTCCTATAAATATTATTAATATTCCATTATTTCTGAATTTGAATGAAAAAATCTATTTCTAAACTTATTTATGGTTTTTGATCAGAAAAATGGAAATAACAACTCCCGCACGATTCAAGATAATATCAATATTTTTCTTGTGTTTCAAAGATCTAAGCGAGAGTCAAAATTTTGTCCGATCAAATTTTTTATATTTGATTTTTGCAATAAGAAAAGCAAGATTTAATATCATGCAGTGGCATTTTTTTTTGGCTTATTTCGATCCCATGTGTATTGAAACGATAAGCTTTAATTTGAAACCATCCCGAACCTTCTATATCTTGTAATAAGAAATTTATAAGAATTCTCTTGCAGGCTAAAAAATCGATTATAAATAGGCCAGAAGTCCCGTCTAGTTTGATATATCGAGCTGAAATTTTTCCTAGAAGTGTTTCTCACTATGACCATTGATTTCTGCAAAAATTTAATCCTAAACGAATCATCTTATGTGGCATATCGATTTTGAGAGAGGCCCCTTAAATTAGTCTAGATAATCCGAAAAAAAAAGAAACAAATTAATTTACCCAAGTTTTTCTTGGTTTATTTCCATTAGTACGTTTTGGTGTAAGAATTTGTTTGACTGTATTAAGACCACGTTCAACACTACCAAATAATGAACGAACATTTTTCTTTTGACGTTGTGGTGTTAAATAAACATCTAAATCATCACTATCAACAGCTCCAACTGAAAATGCTCTAAATTTAATTAAAAAAATAAATAAATAAATAATTAAAATAAAAATAATAAATTTACTTTAATGCTGATGCAATCTTTGAATCATCAAGATTATTATCATCAAGACCATCATCAAATGATTTTGAAGCACTAAGACGATGATCTATGAATACAAAAAAGAAACTGAACGATGTTTTCTATTTTTCTTTTTTGTTGAAAATAAAATCTTACCTCCTTTCTTTTCAGTTGTTCGTCTAGATCCACCGGGTGATTCTGCAAACATTAAAATTCGTTGACAATTAGGTGCTCTATAAAAAAAAAAAAAACTCAAATTTATTTTTTATATTATTCTATATTTCTTATCCTATTACTTAATAGTTGGTGTTATTCGTTCATGACGTTTTGTATGTGAATTTTCAACATTTTCTTTATTTGGTGTTTTATGATTTCGATTACGTTGTTCATTATGTGATGGTGTTGTTGATTTATTTCCATATGATGTTGGTAAATGTGTTTTATTTTGTTCAGATATAAGTAAAAGATCAGCTGGTGGTGGATGTCGATGTACAGTACGTGATCTTGGAGTTAAATCTTGATTTTTTTCACGAAGTAAATTTGTTGGTATAGAACTTGCTTGATGATGATGTCCATCAAATGTTCGATAATTTATTGGTTGTGTACGATTTGATAAAAGACGTATTGATTTATTACGTGATTTAAGATCATATAAAATAAAATATGTAGCTGCCATATAATCATATTTTTTCTAAATTTTTTGTATTTATTTATATGAAAAATTAAAAAACAAAAAAAAAGAATTTTGACTTACACAAGATAATTCTTGAGCTATATCATTAACCGTTCGACTATAATAAAGAGCCATTTCACGTATACATGATACATCTAATTTATTCTATAAATAATTTAATTAAATATATGAACAACAACAAAAAAAAAAAAGACTATAGTATTTAATTTATATTTACTTGATAGATAGATTCCCATTTGATTGGTTCAGGATAAACATTATTAATAAGCCAACGATGTCGTAATAGATCATCAATACGAATTCGTTTTGTTGGATCAACTTGAAGCATAAGACGTAATAATGTAATACTTTCTTGTGATAACCATAATGGAATATGATAAACACCATTCTAAATTTATAAAATATAAAATAAATTTATATTTCATTATTTTTATAATGAAAAAAAGAAATTAACATTACTTGAATTTTTGCATACATCGATGCAATATTTTCATCATCAAATGGAAGACTACCACATAAAAGTGCATATAAAAGCACACCAAGACTCCATACATCTGCCTAAATAAAGAAATATAATGAACACCTTTTGTTTTTATTCCTCAAAAAAAAAATTTGACTAAATATATTTTGCGTGCTATTAAGAATAGTTCAGAAGCATTTAAGCAGAAGCTTGATACACAAGAAAAACAAAAATCACAATTAATATGTTACCTTATCCTCTATTGAAACTGCAGCTGAAAAAATAAATTTTGATAAGATATATATTGACAATATTAACAATGGTTTTTTTTTAAATACTCATGCCAACTTTTAAATGAAATTTCTCAAAAAGAACAAAAATTTTTCCTTACCACATCGCCTCGATAATTTGTTCCGGCAATAATTTCCTATGAAAATAAAATACAAATATATATATATATTTTTTTTTAATTTCATTTCTCTACCGGTGCAGCATAAGCTGGACTACCACAAGCTGTACCCAAATATGCTAAGTTAATACCACCTTTTGGTTGAGCACACAAACCAAAATCAATTAATTTTAAATTTTCTCGACGATCAAGTAAAAGATTTTCCTAGAATAATTTTACAAAAAATAATAATCTTTTTTTTTTTGTTTTCTTCATCAAAATTAAATACATACTGGTTTAAGGTCACGATGACAATAACCTTTCTTATGCATATAAGCTACAGCTGATACAATTTGACGAAAAAAATGTCGAGCTTGTTCTTCAGATAAACGATTTCGATTAACAATATAATCAAATAATTCACCATTACAAAAATACTTAAATAATTATTATTATAAAAATAAAGTATATGATTATAAAAAATAGAATAATTTTTAAATATACCTCAAGAACAAGAAAATAATATTCATCTGTTTCAATAACTTGATAAAGTTGACATATATGTTGATGACGTAAATCTTTCATAGCTTTTATTTCAAGTGCAATACGAGCTACATCACTCTAGAAATAACATAAATTAAATTGAAAATAAATAAATAAAACGAAAGTTTACAAAATACATACACCTAATTTAGCTTTATCAATTATTTTAATAGCTACATGTTCACCTGTTAGAAGATGTATGGCTTGTTTTACTTTACCAAAACCACCATTACCAATTGTTTTTTGTAATTCATAATATCCAGATAAAACTGGATAAGTAACTTGTGGCATAATGTAACAACAATATTTAATCTACAAAAAAAAAGAATTTTACATAGAAATTGTTTTTTATTAACAAACGATCTATTTGAAATTTGTTATATCAAAGATAGAAAAACAAATGTCTTTTTTCGATTGATGAAACAGATACTAACAATTGATATAATTCAAATTTATCACTTTGAAAGTGAAATTTATTTAATTGAAACTTCTGACTTTATACGTCTGAGAAGAACGCATGAAAAAGTATGTATTAAAAACAATATTGGAGAAAGTTCAATGATAAATTTGATAAGAATAAAAGAAAAAAAAAACAATACTTCTTCACTTCATCTAGATTTAAAAGATATAAAGAAGAGAAAGACAAGCAAATTTTCAAAATATAATGTCACAACAAAATGATCAAAGTCTTTTTTCTACTTTGGAAAGTACAATCAAGATACTTTCTTTTTTTTTTTTTGCATAAAATGTATAATATAATAGTTTTTCAAAAACTGTAAGTATCTTGGGTACTTTACTTTTGTTTTGTAGTATTTAGTATTGAAAACACTGGACTGACAACAACGCTTTTTTGGATAAGTGGGTGGACTGGTATGCTTGCTTGCTTTTTATTTCTTTCTTTACGATCTATTATGTATGATCCAATCGTAAATTCGATGAGTACTTTGTTTAATTGTCTTTCTACGACATCTACTGAAATTTATTAAAAAAAAAAGTATATTTAAATTTTGTCTTTTTTAAGACATAGAATCAAAAGTAATATCTTCTTTTGTTTGTTAAAAACAAAAAAAAGACAATGTATTCGAAAGAAAATATTTTCTTTATTGAA